ACCTACAAAACAAAATGCAATACAGATATAAACCCAGACACCCAAACACAACTGTCTACAGTAATTACACTATCTTTTTCAATTTCTCATTATCTCAGTCAAGGCCATTCTCTGAATCATCGCAGTGTTCCTTGGGCAACTTGTATATACAATGATTTGTAAGAGGGCTTATGAAATATTGCAAAGAGCTGTAATAAGGAAGGGTCTGGAATCTCCAGGCTGGGAACTTCTGGTCTACTACAATAATATCAGCAGATACTTACGCTGCAGTCACTAAGTGTCAGGTGTTGTTCTAAGTGCTTTATGTGTGTTCATTCATTGATAACCTCATTGACAACCCTATGAAGAAAGTACTGTTATTACCCCACTGTATAGCTGAGGAAACAGGTTCAGAGTTAGTTAAATTTTCCAAGGTAACAAAGCCAGGAGACTAACTTCAGAAGACAGGCTCGTCAGCATTCTGCTATGTTGTCTCATTCAACGCTGAGTCCTTAAGATGCTCGAGGGCCCGTGGTAAGTTGCTCAGTCCCCACCTCTGGACTAGACCACGTACTTGGCCTCTCCATCCCACTGCTGGATACTACCCCCCATACTCCCTCATCCTGATCAGTTCCATTGCACTCCGAGCAAGTTCTCATGAACACTTCTAGAGAGTGACCTTAAACACAGAGAAGTTTACAGTCTTGTCCAAGTAGAATTCAAAATAAAACAACACTCGACTCTGATATAAAATTTTACTTCTGTGAAATGATACAAAACATTCTTGTATGCTGAAATTAAAATGTGTTGTTTAGATTTTCTGACTTTATTTTTGGCCCATGCCTTGCCAGGGTCCTGAGCACGTGCTTAGTTTTCCTCTTGGGCCATCCAGACCCGCTCACAGCTTCACCCTTGCAGCTCTCTGTCCGGTGGTTCTCTTCCGTCAGCTGCAGTGGCCTCTCTAGACTGTCCATTTTCTCCAAGCCCCACCCTCCACCCAGCAGAAGAACTCAGCTCTGCTCTCACTGAGACAGTAGAGGCTGAACCTGCTCAAGGTTCCCATTCCCTTCTCTCTCACCTCAAAACAAAGACATCGTAACTAAAATGCATTGAACACTTACCACCTGCCAGGGCCTGTGCTAAACACTGGAGAGGCATTTTTTATCATGTAAAGGTCACAACAAACCATGAGGCAGATATTATTATTATCTCCAAATTGGTTAAACAACTTTCCCACGGTCACTATATCAATGAGAGTTTTTAGCAAAGGAACCCTCTGGCTGTTTGGCAGCTCAGAGAATGCAGAGAGTCAGGCTTAGAGAATGGGTTGGGAGGTGGGGTAGGTGAAGGCAGAGTGAAAAATCACCCTACGGGCCCCGTTCAGCGAGGACAGAGCTGCCGCTGAACTCCACTGCTTGCGACCCTGAGCTCCACTCCTGCTTGTCCTGCTTGCCTACTGCCCCTGGACGCTGGCTATCACTGTGGGCTCTTTTGTGAAGATAAACCCTCCATGTTCCTGCTTCCTGGAACCAAGAGGACCTGATTCAAAGAACAGAACAGGGGCAGCTGATGGGCTGAGCGTAGGCCACGTGCTCAGAGCCCAGCTGCAAGAGAGGCAGGAAAACAAGTATGTGAACTTTATGACGCAGCACTGCCTGTCCCCAAGACTGCTATGGTGAGGGGATCTCCCCAAAATGGGAAGATGGATACAGATGGTGCATAGAGAAAGCAAAACCAAACCAAACAGGTAAATATATAGGGCAGTCACCCAGGCAGCACGTAGCACAGGCAGGATTTGAATTCAGGTCTGTTTGACATAAAAGCTTGAGGTTTTAGGGCAATGTTATGCAGTCATTCTATGAAACCCCCTTCCTCTCAAAAGAGATCCCCCTCTGTTGAAGTCCACCATTTCCATTTAATTCTTTGATTCTGTCCCTTCCGCTTCCCTTGGATTTTTCTCCATCAACAAACTCCTCTCTCTTTTATATTTTCAATAACTTTGATTATACAGTGTATTTCTCCTCAGCTTAGAAAATGTTACATCTCCCACATCTTTACAAACACATTTCCGCAGGATCTTCTCCTTGATCTGGGCCCCTTTGCTGAGGATCCTGGGTTTGAATCCCAGCCTCCTCAGTGGCCCTGGTTCAGTCGCTTCACCGCTGTGAGCCACGGCTTCCTCCTTAGTCATCCATATCACCTTGTGAGGATTAACCACAGATGATGCCCAATACATAGTCAATGATACTATTATAAACATTAGTTCCATCATGGCTGGGGGTGGGGATGGGTAGTGACTACACATGGGTATGAGGGATGTTTTTGGGGTGATGGAAAGGTTCTAAAAGTGGACTGTAGTGATGGCAGTACAACTGTGTAAATTTACTAAAACTCATTGAATTGTACACTTAATGAGTGGATGGATGTTAGGGTGTAGAAATTATACTTCAGTAAAGCTTTTATAAAATAGTGAAGGCCACAAACAAGTATTTCTCTGATGTCACCCCTACCTTCTCTCTGCAGAGACTCCTCAAATTTTTCAGGCAAGAATCACTAGAGGCTTCTTTCCAACTGGCTTCCTCACTTAGCTGGGACCCCCGCTATCCCAAGTCTGAAGAAACAACAGGAGACAGGGTTGCGAATAGAAGCACCATAAATGAGAACCAGTCAGACCTGGGTTCAAATCCTGGATTCCCCATATGGTCACTCAGGCTAAATGTTTACCCTTCTGAACTTTAGTTTTCAAACCAGTACAGTGGGGCAAAAACTCTATTTGGTTGTTGTGAGGATGAAATGAGATTACACCTGTGAAATACTTGTCATCGGCCTAGCAGAGTCAGTGCTCATTAGCTGATCACTATGGCTACTTCTACAGCTTGGGGGAGAGGGTCTTCTCAGAAGGTTCCAGCTTTCGGTGATGTCTTTCTGCTCTCACACCCTTTATGTTTATGCTCTCTCAGCTACAATGCAAATCTTGTAATTTCTCCTGGGTGAGAAACAGCCTCCTCCTCACCTTCCCTTGCTTGCCTCTGCTCTGGCAACTATCTTCACACAGGCCTTCAGAGTGACTTTTCTAGGTAAAAAAAAATCTGACCATGCCACCACGGTCCTCTCTAAAACATCTTACTATTCCCCCTTGCTTACAGGATGGATTTCAAAGCCTTGAGCGGGGCGTTGAAGGCCCCGCATGATGACTTGGTGTCTGCCTCACCTCCCTCAATGTTCCTCTTCTGTCTCAAACACTCACAGCCACACGTATTGACTGTCATTCGCCTGACCTTCCTCTATAGAAATCTGCTTTCTATTCTCCATTCTGCTCCCCACCTAGGAAGCCCTTGAGCAGTTCACTTCACCTGACTGAGTCTCAATTTTGTCATATGTGAGTTGGAGATTTATGATTTCTGCTTATGAGGATTTTTCTGAGGATAATAATAATGATAAATATGAGGATTACAATAATGAAAAACAACAATAATAATAGGTAATAATTATTCAGCACCTACTACATGTTAGGTACTTGGCTAAGCCACTTGCATAAGTTATCCTGTTTAATTAAATCACATACAGTTACGATTTATATTTTATTATAGGAGGCTCAGAAAATTTACCTTACTCAAGGTCAACAAGCATCAAGTGTCAGGGCCAACACTCAAATCCAAATCTGTGTGAAACCAAAACCTGTTCTCCAATCCTAGTATTCTAGGATTCTAGAATTCTCTTCTTTCTTTGTCTCCCTTCAGAGTCTCTTAAGTTTTGTGTGAGGCCCAGCCCTTATCCAGCTTCTTCAGAAGCTTGGCTGAAAGGACACAGTCCATGTGATTTCTCTATCCTCTGGAAGGACTTGGGTTGTCTCCCCAATTAGATCACTTATCAAAGTCTTACTCAATGTATAAGTTATTTATCAGTCTACAAATATTTATTAAGCACCTGAAATGTGCCAGATGTGTCAGAGATTGCTAGCTGTTCCCCAATGTGTGTCTTCCCCTTCTTCTTAGTAAGGCATCCCCGAATTTTAGCTAGCCGTGGTTTCCCAGAATAAAGAAATTATTTCCAGCCTACCTTGCAGGTAGGGGTGGCTATCTGAAAGAGCTCTGGCCAATGGACTGCAGTGGAATCGGTCTGGAGCAACCCTCTTGGATCATCAAATGAAGATGCCTGTTGAGGATGGCAGAGTATCAACCCAGAAGGAATCTTGCTTCCTGCTGAATTGTGAAGCCATTACCTTGACTGCTTGCCCAGACTTTTACACAAGAAAGAACTCAATGCCTGTCTTTTGGAATCATTGTTTGAGGAGACAATATCTGTTAAGACAGTTGAATTCATATCCTAACTAATACACCAGGTGATGTTATGGGCACTGGGGTTGCAAGGCAAATTTATGACATTCCAATGGGAGAGAGAAAGATTAAACGTGTAAAATAAATTTAAAAAGAACAGATAAATCTATTAAGGTCACAAGACAAGTTATTATGATACAGAGCGACTGCAGGTAGGAGTACTGTTATCTAGGGTGGCCAGGAAAAGCCTCTCCAAGGAGGCACCATTTGAGATGAGGCCGAATGATGAACAGGAGCCAGCCATGGGAAGGTATGAAGGAAGAACTTTACAGGAAGAAAATGACAAGTGCTAAGACCCTGAACTAACACCCTGAGCTGGGAATGAGATGGGCAAGTTCAAGGTTCAGAAAGACATACACATGTGTATCCTTCTGTTAGAAAGCTAAGAATAAGTATTTTTAAAAGTTAAATGTTTCTTGATATATTTATGTATTAATTAAGTAATTTAATTTTTTATTAATTTAATTTAATTAATTCCTTTGTGGGTCTCAAAAGGCCAAATGGCTTTAATTGCCTATCTCCTTACCAGGAGGGAAAGCCATTTTGGCATGGGTGCTGGCCAGTTGCCCACACTCGCATCTTGTGCTTTGCTACAATATCTGCTACACACTGTCCTTTGGCCTGGCTGATCTCATATAAATCCTCTCCTGCTATAATTCACTGCCCACGGCCCTGCCAATAAAAGCGAGACTCATCCCTGCAGCAGAGAGCTCTATTTCCATCTCCTGCAGCACAGCCACCTCCTTCTCCTGTGACCTGCCAGCCATGAAGTTTCTTTTCCTGTTTCTTGCCATCCTTCTGGCCATGGAACCAGTGGTATCAGGTGACTTGGGTCTCTCTCAAGCATTTGGGATCCTGGTCGTGAACTTCTCCCCTTTCCCTCTCCCCTCACCGTGGGCAGCATCTGAAACCTTTCCTCATTTCATGTGGCTTTGGGAGATTTTCCCATGATCATCTCATGTCCACATCTCTCCCTGATTCTTTTTTGCCAAGGTGGTGGGATGAGAGATGTTTGGTGCACCTGGCACTTAAGGGAAGAATGGTATTCCCTGATGGGATCTTGGGAGAGGGCTTAGGAGTAAAGAGTTGGGTGAGGGTTGGGGACTTGTTGGAGGCTTTGGGAGATTCGATTGAAGGCTGGGGGTGAGTTGTGATGGGAGAGGAAGACCTTGGGGTTGGAGTGATAGAGGAAAAATTAGGATGAGCTGGAGATTAGGAGTTGGACTTCCCTGATAGTTTGGGATGGGCTGGAAAGGGGATGGGATTTTGGGTTGAGTGGAGTTGGTGTTGGGGTTTAGACTGGGGCTTGAGGTGAGGCTAGGAGTTGGTTCTGGACGGTGCAGGGTGTTTGACATTCAGCTTAGTGAGGGACTGCTGCTTGGAATTGAGGTTGGTGACTTGATTAGATTGGGATTTGGCTTGGAGTTGGGGCCCAAATGGCATTGAGTTGGGTAAGACTGGGAATTCTAATTAAGATTGGATTGGGTTTTGAGTTGAATTGGGTGAATATGAGGTCAAGGAAGATTGAGTTGTGGCTGGAGCTGGGGCTTGTTAGGCTTAAGTTAGATAGGGTCAGGCTATTGATCAGGAGCCAGGTTTTTGTTGAAATGTGAGTGAATCCCCTCTATCCCCTAATATTACAGATGTTCATTGTCTTTTTTCCATCTTTCCCAAGCTCCATTAGGTGGGACCTTCATTGGCATCAATTGATCTCAAAATTAGGAGTAGGAGGTTGGAGGATAGGAAGACAGAGGGGTGAGATGTTTGAAAAAGGCTTTCCTAAAACCTTTGGAGTTCCAACCTTGGAACAATTGTCTCAGTTCTGGCCCCTCTCTAGATCTCTTCTCTCCTTTCCTGAGACTGGGCACAGCATTACTTACTCAATCCTCTCCTTCCCCTTCTCACCTGTCCTCCCGCTCCTCGTCTGCCCCTCTTGTCTCTCCACTTGAAGGATACTACATCTGCTTAATGGTTGTTCCTATGCCCAATAGCAGACTGTTGGATGAATGGACAATGCCGGTTGGTGTGCAAAAATGATGAAGACAGCGTCACACGCTGCTCAAATCGTAAGCGATGTTGTGTCCCTAGTCGTTATTTGACAATCCAACCAGTAACAATTGATGGAGAACTCCCCTGGACCACTCCTCATGTGACCAAACATGGGGCCAGACAATAGAGGAAGATAAATGGAAATCATGGATAGAAATGACTTTGCTTCAGGTTCCTTAGTTCCCACATTCCATTAAAACTCACAAATCTGTTTCTTGTGTCTGTCAGTTATAAGGAATGATACTCCAAATGGATTGAGGGTGGGGGGATGGCAGGGTAGGGATTAAGAAGTAGCAGAGAGATGTCACTGGGGCTGGGCCAAAGCAATGGAGTGATGATTACAGTCTTGAAGATAGTTGCTCATCTACCAGCTGCAGGAAAGGCTATTGGGTCAGGAGTGGACTGAGGAGCACATGAGGGAAGCTGAGAGATTTAAAGGCACGGCAAATACCTAGAGAGTGGGAGAATCCTTGGGCTGGGAGAGTGGGTACACCTTGTGGGGGGGCGGTGAATGGACTGGGAGGGGACAGGGACTGAGTAGATCCCAATCTGGGATTTCTAAGGAAGTTGGCTGAGATACCTTTTGATGCTCGAGGGTCTACAACTCCAAGGATCAGAAGGTTTCCAAGTACTGAAAAAAGATAAAGCACATGAATTTACTCATTTATAAATGAATTTGTTTATTATTCATTTTTTACATTCTTTCATGGATTCATTTATTCATTCATTCACCTCAGCTCTGCTACTTACAACTGTCAGACTCTTTGCATATATACCTCTCAGAACTTCAGCTCCCCCATCTGTAAAATTGGAATAACAGAACCTACCTCAGGATTGTGGTAAGAATGAAATGAGACAATGTAGAGCGCAGAGCCCAGTGCACAGTAAGCTCTCAATAAACGTTAGCTGTTGCTATTGTTTATCGATTTATTCAAGCATTTAAGGAATATGTGCTGAGTGCCTTTCAACTGTGTTAGACTCTAAGGGAGAGATAAGCCTGTCTCATTTGAATTAAGAATGTAGGCCGGGAGAAGACTAGCCCATGGGGAACAGTTAAGAACTCTGATTGGGTATCTAGAAGACATGGGTGTCTTCCCGGGCTTTGTTATCTTAAATCCTATTCTCTGGGCCTCATTTATCCAATGCAGTTGGTCACCCCTGAACTGTTCTCTGCAGTGAGGTTGGGGACCGAGAATACTCTGTAGAGCACGGTGCATGACGCAGAGACAGATAGAAGGAGTCACTCTGATCTATGGAGATAATTTTCTCTCAATGCAATATTTCTGCTCTCAGACTCTCATAGGAGAGACGCTTCCTCCCCTGATCCTGGTCCTATTCTGGGCTTCCTCTGACTAAGTCCCTCCCCACAGGGTGAGGAGTTGATGGGGGCAAGGGGCATAGATCCACCTAGAGACTGTGCCCTGCCCCTCACCCTTTCCTAGAACATGCTTTGAGTAGCAGGGCCTGGAATTCCCTGCCCAAAGAACCTTGTGTGTGCTTCCAGGCACTGCATGGGCTTTTTCCCTAGGTCTACCTTTGGAGGGTGGGGCCCACTGTGTGTGAACCCCAGGCAGGAGGAGTGCCAAGGGACACCCCTATGTGCAGGGGCTGTGGGCAGAGCTTGGATGTTCAGGCTGGACTGTCCACATCTGTGCATGTGAGACTCTGTAGAGCATGAGGCAGAGCTGGGGATGGGCGAGAAGAGCGGTGGGCTGTGGGTTGAGCCAGCTCCCCTAGTCCTGTCAAGGAACTCTGAAGAATCCAAGAATTATAAATTCAAATCTGACCTGTCAGGTCATTATGAAGGGACATTTCATAAAGGACATATTTTATTTATCCCATCTGTTAGCTTGATTCATAACTGTTAAATATTCAGACACATGATATATGAGCCTCCATTTATATTCTTGCCCCAGGACCCACAAATGTTAGGGTTGTGCCTAGAATTTAGATCCTGCTCTGGCTCACAACCCATCTCCAAGCCCACTGCAGAGGCAGGAGCTGCGTAACCTGTGTTTTCACAGTCTTGATGCCTGTCTGTGATCTGGGGGCGTTCAGGCTGTGCCCTGAGGCCCTGGGTGAGACCGTCCAAAATACTTCCATGCTGGCCTCCCTGCCTCCAGATTTTCTTTGCATTAGTCTCTATTATCAGAGGGATTCATTTTAGGAAATTCATCTGACTGTGTCGCTCTCCTGCTTGGATATCTTCCTCTTCTCCTCCCTGCCCAGGTCGGGCATTCAAGGCCTTCACATGGTGGCCCAGCTTCATCTCCCACGACTACTGCTCACGGACTTTCTCTTCAGCCACATCAGTCCTCTCACCACCCTCTCCCACCCCTCACATTGCCTCTGTCCATGGTTCCCCTCCACCTTGTCCCCATCACCAGCTTCATCTCTGTGATGAACTCCTTCTCACCCTTCAAAGCCCAGTTGATGCCCCTACCCATGAAAGCCTTAACAGAAGCTCTGTCTCACTATTTCTTAATAATTATAATAATAATAGCTATGGTAATAGTTCTCATTGACACTTCTTGTGTGTCAGGCTTTGTGCTTGGTGTTTATAGGCCTGATATCATTCCATTCTTCCAACAACCCTCTGATTATCCCTATCTTCCTGATGAGGAAACTGAGATCTAGAGAGGTGATGTAAATAGCCAAGGTCACACAACATTAAGGTAGAGCAAGGATTCAAACTAAGTTCTGATTGTCCTCACAAAGTGTCACTCTTAACAATGTATGGCACATATCACATCATTGTGTAATTTTTTCAGTCCCTGCCCCCTTGCCCCCAACTCCCCAAACACTCACATACCAGATGGAAATCCTTAGGAGTTGGGACAACATTTTCTTTACATCTGTGTGCCTGATTTTAAGCCCAGTGCTTGGCACAGATGTGACAGTGAGTGTTTCTTGAGTGAATGAATAGATGAATGATGAATTCATGTGTGAAAACACAGGTGGATTTGGGAGGCATTGCACATTGCTGATGCATCAGGCATGACTCAATGTGGGATCCTTTCTGGGCTAGAGGGATCGGAGGACCACCGCATCAGGTATATTTGGCTCCAGCTGGCAGTGTTAGAAAAGATACAGAGCAGCTCCTGGACCTTCTTCAAGTTAGTTCTTATCCTTCATCAGTTAGTTTGCTCTTAAAACACATAGATTTCACAGTGTGGTAGGTGGTCTGGGGAGAGTCTAAGGATTCCCGATACCTGGGGCCTGATATTAATCTCTCCACACACAGCCATTTGTGCCCGCAGCAAATTAATTCATTATGAGACATTACTTATTCACTTGGTCAACAACATTTATTAAGAACGTTCTCTGTGCTTAACTCGGGGCAGACAGAGATAATCCTGGGGAGGATAGAATGGTGAGGTGAGAAAAGGGCTTGGAACTCACCATTGAGCGTGGTAAGTTTTCAGAAGACACTTAGCCCCGTGTCTGAATCTCTGGACTTGGAATCTGGGCATGTGAAATTTTGAAAATTCCCTCAGATTATTCCTTTGGGAGATAAGGCTCCATCCCCTAGTTCTCCAAACTTGTTTCATTCCTGATAGCCCTCAAACTGAGAGAATCTTTGATCTAGGCAACACCTCTTCTCATTTCACAGATGGGGAAATTGAGGCCCAAGGAGGAAAAGTGACCTATGTTCATAAGTAGGTTCTGGACAATGCTGGGATTAATAAGCAGGTCTTCTTTGACTTCTGGTGAAAGGGCTGAGGGAACATCGAAGCTGATATTAAGTCGATGTGGGTGATATGGTGAGTGGAGGTGCAGAGCAATATGGGGCCGACAGCAGGGTAGGTGTTAGGAGCTGCAAAGCCCCTTACAAAAACTTTGGGGTTAATTTGGGCACCTTTGAAACCCCTTCCTGGGATGCAGTTGGCCTCTTGCTAGGGGAAAGTTTGGCTTGCCTGCTCCACCATCTAAATGTACAGTTCTGTACCCTCTTCTTTTGGATGCAAATCTCACACTGGCCCTCCTTCTCAAAGAAGATAAATAAGGACCTTATTTCCAGGGGATGTGGCAGAAAAGGTGTGGTTTTTACTCTTGTAAGTCTTCCTTGAATCTCTCTTTTCTTCCTTGTAGGCTGAGGGGTGATGAGAATGGGAAACATTGGCAGTGGGCAGTAAGCCCTTCTGGGGTGAGGGGGTCGTCATGGCAGTTGTAGACCCCCAAGCAAGGATGACTGGGCATCTGCACTGGACCTTTCTTGGGATGGATACACAGGCCTGCTGGTATAGCTGAAGCTCAAGTCAGTCTGTGTTCTGTAGACCAGTACCCATAATCTAAGTTACTTTTGGTACTTAGATGAGGAATTCATCTTTGATTCTTTCTCAAGTTCTACAGGAGTAAATGTGTTTCCTCCTTGTATCTCCTCACCTTTGCTTAGGCAACATATGTTCTCTGGTCAAAATAAAATGGAGTAGATCCCTTTTATTCAATGCAAGGGCTTAGGATATCATTGTGTGTGTGTGTGTGTGTGTGTGTGCGTGCACATGTGGGCACACATTAGACTTTGTATTAAACCCACTTGGACATAGGGGACCCTATGTGCCTAGCACTAAGTTCAAGGCTTGGCAAAGAGTGGGTGCTGATAACCGTTTGTGGAATGAATGAGAGGTCCTTGAATGCCGGGTTCAGAAGTTTGGGTTTGACATTGAAGACAATAGAGGGCCATGGGTCAAGCTGTCATTATCTAAGAAGGTACCAACCTCTCCCCCAATTTCCACCATATGGAGAAGGTAGCATTGTACATTAGAAAGAGTATAGGCTTAGAGTCATAATGAGTGGAACGTGAGGCCTTGCTCTACTTCTAACAGTTATGGGGCCTTTGCCAGAACAGTGCATCTCTCTGAGCCTCCATTTCATCACGCAAGAAAAGGAAATAGAGACATCTACTTCAGAAGGTTATTGTAAAGATTTAATGAGTTAACATGTATCAAGTGGCTCACAGTGGGTACTCAGCAAATGGTAATGGTTGTTATTTTTATTTTCTGTCAAGCCAAAGGATCATTCCTGTTTTGGGGACCTCAGTCCCAAGGAGGAGTAATAATATGCTAATGGCTAATGTTTATTGAATACTTACTATGGACTAGGAACTGTGTCTCTGGTTCCTATGTGTGCACAGCCTCCAAAAAAATCTCTGGCTATCACTGAGGGATTAAAGTCTGTCTAATTTCATGGGACTATTT